AATAGGAACTTTACTCTCGATATCTTTTATATTCTTGCATACTGTGTGCATTTTGTAGTTTCTTGCGCATTCAAATTCCCTATAAATGCATAAAAATCTGCAGACTAGTTGTTACACTACTGCTTACTTAGTACTAGCTTGTTTCCATTCTTCTCATCATCGTCTTACGTGACTCCTGCGTTATTTTAATGCCGTTTGCAGTATCTCTTAATTCTCATCTATTGGGGCCCGCTTCTCATCCATCGCCGCCCCAAACACACCTCTACAGCCCCTGAGGGTGTATTTTGTACGGTGCACCGTTTCCTATGCTTCCTCGATCGATCGACGTCTAAACCTAACCGGTCGTATGCGAATTCCGGTGATACGACACATTTGTCAATTCGATCGTTCGCGTTACGCCGCGACTGGTTATTAATCGCCTGGTTGTCGATCCATGCGCGCTCGATTATCACCGGCCAGATGTACAATTGTATGCACATATTGTACGTACATACGAACGTCGTATCGTTCCTACGGCGATCTTATCGAAAATCACGAATGTCGATGCCACGCTCAACTAAATAATCGTTGACTGACAGGAGTAGATCGTGAAACGAGTCGAACGGGTTGGCGTATTAATAGCATGCGTAAACCTGGATAATACTAATAACCATGTAGGTACATATGTATATGCCCTGTCGTTAGGAACGCGACGGAATTTGCTTCTACCGCGTTATTTCTTTGTCAACGAGTTCTTTTTTCCTGAAACGTGACGCACCGATGCCAGTCGTGCTACCAGTTTGTCAGTCGATGTCACGCGTACGCTATACGTAACCGCGACAGCCAATGGATAAACGGCTGTCCTCGCGTATACGTGATCTCACTCTTACCGTTTAGGTTTCAATTTCGTGACGTATTTTCGTCGCGAACGTTACTTTTTCCCAACGTTCGAGGCGATTCGTTCGATCGCGACTCGTTCACGGATGAGAAAAGAAAGTAGGACGCTAACGAGGCATTCGTATCATTTCATCCGCAGCAATCACGTTCATTTTTCACCCTCTGTGTCTTCGTCTTTCTCTCTCGTCGCCATCGCGGTCATGGAAATCTCGAACGTATCTTTTTCTCGTGCACGATTAGCAAAGTCAGCTGGACGGGTAGACCGAAAGGGTGGACTCGTTAATAACGGCCGCGGGAAACGAATCTTGAATTATGAATACACGAGCGGGGACCGTTTCGCCGCAATCGCGGCGAATTTATAACTGAAATCCGAGCCTGGAGCGAGTACCGTTTCGACCACGGAACTACGTATCGCGTTGTTCGTGGTAATGCTAATTCATGTCCGCTCGGCGAACCGCGATCCATATAGTACATTCTCTCTGTTTTATCAAATCTTGTACAGGTTCTCCCATTTATCGCGAGCGTTTCAATTTCAGCTGATTCAATTCGACCAACAAGTTCTTCACAAGAGCCAATTATTCGTACTCGACGATTAAATCGAGACGAGCGATTCGACGTTCGCCCGAATCGTCCGATCGATGACGAATCTCATCGCGGATCGCGGCAAAAATCGAATCGGAAAAGCGCCGTGACTCGTCGACATCGCGAATCCGATCTCTGCCGGTTGTACTAGATTCCCCGATACGTTCCATTAAACCCGGCACGAGGCCTCATTGTGCGAACGAAACAGCCCGTACGTGACCAACGGCAAACATCGCCGCTGAAAGAGATACACTATACAATGCCCGAAACGAGTATTCGTCTACATTCGTCTACGAACGGATTACCGATACCCGTTCGTCGTCCAACGACAGATTCGAGAAACGTACCGCGAACGAACAACGAAACAAAGAGAATTCGGCGTGCGATCGAAATAGAAAAAAAAAAAAAAATCGACGCCGGAGATCGCGACCACGATTCGTTCGCGGTTTAATGAATAATTTACGTACCTCGGGAGTCGCGCAAGTACGCCGGCAAGCGCACCACGAGGAAACCGTTCCGATCGCATCTGCCGTGCGTGCTCTGTAACCGATGGTGCGCGCCGCGCGCGGCGGATACCTTTCCACTTAGCATAAAATCGTACTCACGCATCTTCCTTGCCGCGATTTACTCAGCAGTCTGTTCGACTTTCGCGCAAGGGTTACAACTGGAAGCTATTACGCGACGCAAACTTAGCGATGGAAGCGAGCGTATCGCGAACGAGTACGGTCGAATCGTACAGGGTGACGCGGCGACTCGGTCCGCAGCACTTTCCACTGCTTTCCGCGCTTTTCCACTCGCGTTCGACCGTTTGAACGTTTCGACGAGGCGCGTTCTCATCGTGGGAAATTCAGTTGGAATCGACGCGTTCAAATGGCGAATAACAGTGCCATCGTGAACGTGTTAATCGCGAAACCGAGTAAAAATCCAACGACACGACGCGGTACGTGGAAACGGTATGGCAAGCAACGCGTTTTGTCACAGTGCGAGATAACCAGCCTAGGTTCGTTTCGGTGTCACGAAACCAGGCTGTACAAATACTTTCTAAGCGTTTTCGTGTAACGGTAACCGACGGTTGCTCGATTGTTGTTAATAAGCGGAGGACTACCCGCGCTTTTAATCGCAGCAATTCAGACACGCGCCAAGGTAACTGAATTTCCTTTCGAATACCACCGAACAGGATCTCTGACCGAGCGATTGTCCGTTATACATACAATTACAACAAGGCAACGCGCTAATTGGCACGCGTACATTGCCTTCCACTTTTCCGGAGATGACGACCGAATGCAAAGGTGTCGGCGGCGCTGGTGCAACGTAATCGAGCGTAATTATCCAAGTCCGAGCCGTGAGACGAATTAACGATGCGACGACAAACTAACCGGGGATTCGAACGAGACCTCGATATTCCGTTTCTTAACACATTAAGAACCGCAACGAAATCTCTAAGACACATGCCTGGGACCGCGCGTTTTTTCGAGGGGTTATTTCGATCCATCCGTAACAGACGGAATGCGCGACACGAGAAAATTCGTGAACGGTTCTTAACGCGTTAACGAAACTTTGTCGTTAAGAGTGTCTTCCGCAATTATATTTTTTGTGTTACTTTCCAACACGCATAAGGAAGACCTGACACCCCGCGCCGAAGCGTTCTCAACCGTGAAAATCTGTTTCATAGTCGACGGAACGACGACGGGCATCGCGAAGTACAAGCCAGTGAGCATACGTACCCTTTCGCCCTTTTTCACCCGCGAAGCAAGTATCGTTTCGTCGATTCCATCCGCGAACGCGCGTCGGTTTCCCGAGGGATGGTGCAACGAGGAACCGGGTCACGAGAATTCGTACGCTCCGAGAAGTGGATGAACCGACGCCGTAACGCTTTTAGAGGATCATCGTTTATTAAGACGTTTCGTGATACCCGAACGACCACTTCGGACCGTTTCGGGTAATAAACGAACTCGATGAACCGCACGGTGTTATATAATACGAATAACGATATAACCTTGACGAAAATGTCGAAAGTGGATCTATCGATGCGACCGCATCGCTCGAGAGGACGAAGGAATGCAGAACTTGGAGAGGAAGAGGAAGCGACTCGACCTCGTGCACGAGCCGTCGCGAGCATGCGAGAGATTAAAACGAAAAAACCATCGGTCCTTTCTTCTTTTTCCGTCCCCCTTTCGTTGAAAGAGCATCGCACTTGGCCGCGTAGAGATACCGGCTCTCTGTGGAGAATTCAATGGGCGCTCCGACCAAAGCCATTTGCCGAGAAAAAGAGAAAAAGGGAGAGCCTGGATGTCGATACAGAAGGTGACGTTTTTGTTACTTCTCATTCGCGACACCTACGCGACCTACGCGCGCGATGCCTAATCGAAAGCACCGATCAAGCTAATCGAGTGTTTATCGTTTCACGAGATGATTAACCTAAATACTCCGAGTTAGAAAGCATAGAGATTTCACGGTCGTTAAATCCGATCTCTACGCTTTTAGATATACTCGGACCGAACCGTTTTCGCCCGGGTAAAGAATTTTCGACGGTCCTCGTCTACTTTTCGGAAAACTAGGTTACCGTACGTACGCGTCAGTGAAACGTTTCCCGTTGGCCCTTTGAACTTTCCCGTCGGTTAACCGACCCACTTGGACCTGATCGATCCCGTCCGATTTAATAAAGCGTCCCGTCGATTCGACGATATTTTTCTATCTTTCATTCTTACGAATCGAATCACGAATTCTTACTTTTCGAACGAATCGAAACTCTTTAACCGTTCAATTGCTAAGCAATTGTTTGCAAGAACGCACGAAAACTGCGAGACGTATCTTGAGTTGATGTCAAAGACACGCTGAAACTCGCAAAAGCGCTGCGTCGCGGTTTTCGAAGACAAACGAACGCAGCGGTTTCGCACCGCGTAGCAGTGAAACGGTTAATATTTTTATCGAGCGAACTACTTGAGCCCGATTATCTATCATCCATTACGCATTCGCAGAGGGATTCGAAGGGAACGAATCCGCTGGCCGTGGTCGGTCGAGCGGTGTAACGAATGGAGCTTCCTCGTCTGTCGGTGTACCGCGTCGAGTTCGTTTGTTTCTCAATTAGCCGACCGTGAAACCGTTGAAATTAGCCGCAGCAGACGGGAACGAATCGTCGATCAATATCTCGGGGCCGGATGATCTATACCGCGTAACAGGCCGTTTTATCGTCGAAAAACCATCATCGCGTCCGAGAGGACGCGAGAAGCGGGTGAATGGTTTCGGTCGGCCTTCAGCAAGGTCGACAATCGTTGTCAGAGTCGCGTTTGAAATTTGTCGAGCACCGGTACGTGGAATTTGTCCGTTTAGTTGGTTATCGCGACATTCGGTGGTCGAAAATGGTCCGGATGAGAGAGATGAGACGAGTGGTACGAAACGCTGGAAAGGCGCAACGGCGCGGCGCCGGAACGTAAAGGAGGTTGCGACCTGTTGCGAGTGTTGCGACTTTCACCGGAGCGGAACGATTGCATCGCGGCGCGATCGTGATCGGTTGGCGCGGCGAGCTTAAAAGCGATACCGACCTTGAAGGCAACACAGCAGGACGATCCCGATGACGAGGGAGACGTGACGGTGCATCCTTGGTAAACGTCGACGGAGATCCGTTCGGATGTAATAGCTTCTTCTTGGCCACGATCGTGAAACCAGCGGGACAGCGTTTTACGAAGAGACAACTTTCTCGGAGCGCAGTAGGCGGACGTCTGCGTGCGATTATCTTATTGCGTGGACGTTCGTGGTCTCGCCACCGGCACCGGGTCGTTAAGGAGGATAAGGCCGAAGGCGCGCGCGGAATAGATGTTCTCGGAGAAGGAGAGAGGAGAGATGGTGACGAGCGCCGTGAGGAGGAAGGAGAGAGGAGGAAACGTGCCCTCTTCGACCTCTTTCGTCCTTCGAGGTCCACGAACGACTGAGGCGCACGAAGCGACGTCGGTCCGGCTATAGCCTCCCCTTCCTACTTTCACGTGGCGTGCTCCCGTTTCCAGTGCAGCCACGGAGTACGGACCGGAGTGCCTCTCCACGGGCCATTTACCATTACCATCGTCGTCGACGACGCTCGGTCAAACGAGGGGGGCCTTCAGCTGGACAAGCGTGAAGGAACGAGGGGGAACAAGCCTGAAAACCAACTCTGATCCGGAGATCGAAGAACCCACCGTTTCTAGGCCAACTCTTTCTCCTCCTCTTCCTCTTCCTCCTCCTCCTCCTCCTCCTCCTCCTCCTCCTCCTCCTCCTGTTTCACCACCAGAAAGACGTCTTATTCTTCTTCGTCGACCTCTTCTTCGGCGGGCACGCGGAAACGGCATGCGGCCTTTCTGATCGCGACTTCTTCGACTTTCGAGGGGTGTAGCATCAAGCCAAGGAAACGATCCTCACGATCCATTAACGTCAACGCGACGATATGATTCCTGGAAAAGAAAAGAAATGAATTTAATCGATCGAAACGAATTTCGATTTCCTCGTCGGAAAATAGACCGTCTAGATACGCGAGACCGAACCAAAACGACCGAACGAATCCTCCGCGAAGAACCTGATTGAGAAAGTTAGCCGATTAACGAACGCGGAATATTCCCGGCTTGTTCGCGAGGATCGAACACCGGACGGCTCCGTTCCCGCGGTGACGGACTCATCGATTTACATTTCAGCGGGTGCACTTTCTAATCGAACGATCACCCGGGGAATTTTCTTGCTACCGACAGCGACATTAGTCTCGTTTCCTACTTACATTCTAACCGCTAATTTCACGTGCAAACGGAGTCGCGCATTCACGGCGAGGAGAAACAACTATAAAGCGGCCACGTTCTCTCGTATCGCGTCCCACGAACCGGCCGATTAATTATCCTAGATGGGCGATACTCTCGTCGACCCGTAACGATACCGTCCAAACGTTCGGTTCGACTTTGAACAATGGCTTTTATTCTGATTTCGATACATGTTTGTCGAGTCTTAATCTGCATAGAAACGCAAAGGGTCAACGGTCGACCGCGAAAGAAAATAGTTTTTCGTCTCCCTCGGTAAAAACGTCGACGATGATATCGACGATCTCGTTTAGGTCCCTTTCTACGAACGAAACGTACTCCGTGGGCCGATATTTCCATTTTTATCGGACGTGTCGATCGGAATTGGTTCACCTCGCGTTGTACACTTTCTTGGTATTCGACGAAATCGCTCTCGGTGCTCTAGTTTCGGTCGGTCTAATGTTCGAACGGGGACTAAAAAACACCGACATCGCCGGTTGTTAGGCACGAAAGTGTGGCAGTGGCCCGAGGGAAGAAGAGGCCAAACGCGCGGTGGAACCGCTCGCTCCGGTGCTGTTGCAGGTGCAATCGAACCCGAACCTCTCGATGGTGCACCGATCGACCAAGGCCGGAGGGGATCGTTCGTCAACGTCAACCATCGGAGTATCCGCCGCGAAACGCAAGCGTCTACGCTACATATCAGCCTTCTCTCCCGCGGACTACGCCGTTAACCCACTTGCGCCGGCTAACGCGGTTATTTTGCCTAAACTTGCTTCGACGCCGTGTATTCCCTCCATTCCACAGAAACCATCCCCACCACTGGGCGGGTATACCCCTCGAGGGGTCCTGGAGTTCGATCGCCGAGTAACGTAACATGATCTGGGATCGGATATCTCGACGAGACAATGCTAACGCAACAACAAAACTCACCGATATGCCCCTGGTGTTTTCGCTCCGTCCTCTTCTTTATTCGCTGTCCTTCTCTACGTTCCAAGCACCACGGTAAACATCAGAAAATACAGGGTGTCTCAAAAATGTTGTAACACATTGAAAGGGGTGGTTCGCGAGGTGATTTGAAACAACTTTTTCCTTAGCGAAAATGTTGTTGGAGGTTTCGTTAAGGAGATATTAACAGAAAACCCCGACCAATCAGCGGGCGCACCATTGACATACTCGCGCTCTGATAGGTCGAGGAGCGCGTAGCCTACGCTAAGGAAAAAGTTATTTCAAATCACCTCCCGAACCACCTCTTTCAAGGTGTTACAACATTTTTGGGACACCCTGTATAAACGCGCGTGCAGAGATGGGCAAAACCCTAGGCTACGAATAAATCTGAAGTTTGTCGATATGTTTGTCTCGTTTCTTCTTTTAAACATTTTCCAAAGAAGGAAACGAGACAAACAAATCGACGAACTTCCGACTTATTCCAAGTCTAGGATTTCGCCCTTCACTGCGCACGTGTTCGGTCCCGAAACCCTTTCCTCGAATCGTATTCGCTTCTACTCGACGCGGAGTCGTTCAGCACCAGCGACGGGGCTGATTCGATTACCTACGACGATATTTATGATTCTAGATTCTAGCACCGTTAAACCAGGACGAACAACAGCCGAGAACCGATCGCGACGCAAAGATTATTAATAATTTCACCGTCTCGAGTTTTCATTTATCGAGAACGAGCGCGTACCGTCGAATGTCAAGTTGCCGCGCCTACTTCCGGTTGATGGCACGACTCGGTCGTATTTTATATGCGATCGCGTCGATTGGAATCGCGGAAAACGATAAGGGACTCGATCGCTGGCCGAAAAATAGTCGATTTCATTTTCTGTTTCGGTAACTAGATATTCGAGACAATGATTCGAGAATTTGTACTTGACGCTGGGGATGATTGGGGATGATTGTCGCGTATCGATGTAGACGGAATCCGTTTAGATTCCGTTGTCGCGAACGCGTTTTATTTGTCCTTATCCCTGAAGATTTATCCACGGCGAGCCATAATCGACGATGGCGGAGGATTTTCGATTCGAGGGACTATACGCGCCGGATCGCGATACAGCCGACGACAATAGTTGCGTACGCGTACCGCGACAGAGGAGAATATATATCTCGTACGTGTCCCGTTCGACGGGAAAAATGTTTACGCGGTCGAGAATGTACGAGCGACGAGGAAAGCAAACGGGGAGAGAGAAATGAAGGGAATCGGCTGGACCAACGAGACCGAAGCGGCCGTGTATACCACGCGAACCGAGAATCAGCAATTTCCATGTATTAAATAAACATTTCGCCGCTGTCAAAGCAAAGTATTGCTGCGCGGTATAGTACGCCGTGTTCGCAACCATACAGGGGAACTCGTAAGGTATGTAACCCGGACAAAGCGACTGCTATTTTTTTTCCCTTTTCTATTTAATAAACGACAACCATAGGGCTCTTTCATGCCTAATGCGTCCCTCTATTTACAACTATGACATACAAACGTACGATGTACGTTTCACACGTGCGCAATTTATAATTTAGAAATTATCCAACTGATTTGTATAATATCTTATGGACCCCGGTCACTTTTTCGCTTCTCGCAATAAATTCTGAGTACACGATACGTATCGCATTATAATTTTCGATTTGTATCTACAGTGAAATTAAAATTAAATCATAAATGTGGATGCTTTTAAATAATTATAATTAACAACTACCATTCAAACATGTCATTTAACGGTGAACAATTTGAATTCATTTTTTACCGCCAAGCAGCGCCATCGGTGGGAAAACGCCCAAGTTTGTGGTGAAAATAGTTCCTACTATTGCTGCTAGATGACACCACTGACTAAATAGTGATTTGTACTGGTGGCGCCATCGGTGGGAAAACGCCCAAGTTTGTTGTAAAGTTAGTTTGTATCGTTGACGCTAGATGGCGACTGCAATTTTTTTTAAATAACGCCATCTATTAGTACAAATAGGAACTATTCGAGGACAAACCTGAGCATTTTCCCACCGATGGCACCACTTGCTGCACTTAGCAGCTCACTGAACGGTAATCAATTAGTTCGGCTTATTCACCGCTAGATGGCGATAACAATCGCGTGTCCATGAATCGCGCGAAGATACGAATACATTGATGCAAAATTAAATTGTTTTTTTAATTGATAGAAATTATCCCTTTTAATGTCTATTTAGATAATAATTGATGCAAACACATAAACTATATGGCACAATAATTTAATACATGGTTTACAATTCCTTATAAAAATACAATAGGGTGAACAGCTGAAATATATTTATTATATATATATTCGTTATGTCCTCTAAAAACGATTTTGAACATAGAAAATGCTGAATGTACTTAGTGTTAAATAAATATATATATATGGATATACATCTATGTGTGTTTTGGTCTTAACTTTGGTAACTAGTCACCACCATGGCTTATACTTGAATAACAAAAAACAAAATTAAAGTTCGTCAGAATTTTTAAGAAACTTTAACCATAAAACATTTAAAAAATTACTACTAAGATTCATAACCATTCGGATTACTCTGTTGCCATTTCCACGTATCTATACCTGTAATAAATTTAAAAATTAATAAAAACCATCGATAACTAACTCCTAATACAGCAACTTACACATATCATCTATATTTCTACTGGCTTGCCAATTTAATTCCTTTTTAGCTATACTAGCATCTGCATAACTGGCAGATATATCTCCTGGTCTACGTTCAACTATCTTGTATGGTATTTTTCGACCCGATGCCTTTTCAAATGCACGTATAACTTCAAGTACCGAATAACCCTTTCCGGTACCTAAATTGATTGCTTTAAACCCAGTTGGATTTCGAGATTTTTGATAAATCATTGCTTTCACGTGACCTAGTGCCAAGTCCATGATATGAATATAATCGCGAACACCTAGAAATTTAACACGAAACAATCGATAGTTCGCTAATTAGAACTGAATATAACCTTAAATATCCGTAAAGCCAAACTTCTTCTTTGAGTTTTTTGTTTCGGAAAAGTAATTTTGTCTAGCTACATACCTGTTCCGTCAGGGGTATCGTAATCATTGCCATAAACATACAGCATTTCTCTTTTCCCGACGGATACTTGAGCAATGTATGGCATTAAATTATTTGGTATACCATTTGGATTTTCTCCTATTTGCCCGGAAGGATGAGCTCCAACTGGATTGAAATATCTTAGAGATATAACAGACCATGCCTAAAAATTCGTTTATAACAAATATTTAATTTGTATTGTCAACCAAATATAAAAGAAACAATGTTACCTTATCTGAACTACATAAGTCTTTTAAAATTTCTTCAACCATGTATTTTGTCTTTCCATATGGATTTGTACAATTTCCAGTAATCATATCTTCGACTAATGGGAGTTTTTCAGGAGTTCCATAAACAGTGGCACTACTTGAATAAATTAAGTGCTTTACATTGTACTCTGTCATAACTTCTAACAGATTTAAGGTTCCAGTGACATTTGTTTTGTAGTATTCTAGTGGTTTTGCACAAGATTCACCCACAGCTTTCAAAGCAGCAAAATGTATGACACAATAAAAAGTATACTAAAATACAAGTAATAATTGATATTTCAAGTATATATTTCTAGTATATATAATTAACTCTTGATAAAATTTGTAATGGTACCTTTTTAAATACATCTCTCAATTCATTTACATTTGTTATATCACAACCAATAAATGTAATTTTTTTGTTTGTTAATTTTTCAACTCTCAACAAACATTCTGGTTTTGTATCATTGTTTCCTACAAATGAAAGATAGAACTATAATCCTATAATGCAATTTTGAACTATGGAGAGGAATGTACACTATAGGGAATAACTGAATGTTACAGGTACAAGTATTACAGAATTTATGCAAAAGTAGGCTTGATAAATATTAGTTCAATTTTATTTCAATGTAAGACAAAGTTACTTTAATGATTTTTGTTGTACAACTATATAATAATATTTTTAAAAATCATTGACATCGTAGATATGTATCCTGTTATTGTATTGTTACAATTAGGTTTGTTACACCTCACCTTTATAAGCATTACTACAGTTGTCTATTACCACCACCCTAAAATCTGCTTGTATTAGTTCTAATACAGTATGAGAACCGATGTAACCAGCACCGCCCGTCACCAGTACATCCCCAGATTCACTTGCCATTGTTTTTTCGTGCTGTTCTAATTGTTATTTCTAACATAATATTCTATAATTATTGTGCTTTAACTTAACAGAAGAAAATTAATACGTTAGAGAATGTGCAATGCTAAAGGCATGCTAACAGTTCAACATACAAGAAAACAGATCTAAAGAAATACTTTGTAAATATTGGCTGTTTAAAATTGTTTCACATTTTACATATAAATCGTGTCAGGTAATAAACATTGTTACATATATACAATTTATAATTAAATTCCAACAAAATGTAGATTCTGAACAAGATTTAACTGTAGTATTATTTATTTATACAAACGGTTATACACATTTATTGTAGAATATATAAATATAAACATGATATAATATTAACACACAGAAAAATTACATATGGATATATAAGAAAAGATTAGTATTGTACCTTGATGTTTGACAAAGTTTGACACGTAAGCAATTAACCTCACTTATCAGCGGCACAAGACACACGCCGCACAACGCACAAGGTATACTACAGTGTTCCAACATCATCGTCAAACATCGATAACAATATCTGTATTCCGTGATAAAGTTATGTAATACTAACACGTCGGCATAGGTGCTTCAAATACTTTTATAAGCAAGTACATTAATAATTGAATGACAAATGACCTATAAATGTGATTAAAAATAATCGAGTATCTTCATGTTTTAATTTTCTCGCATGATATTTAATACCTGAAATTTTAATAAACTACGTTACAACTGTTTAATAATAATTACACGTGTACAAAGTTTTGATAAGTGATATTCAAAGTTGCACATAATTGTAATCGTGAGTTCGTCCTTACTACTAACGTCTTGACTGAACTGGTCTTGACTTAAAAAGTATATGTGCAATGTCTTCGCAGGTTTAGTGCACCTCTATTCAGAAGTGACGGACGTAATCAAATTTATATAAATAATAAATATGAGCAAACGTAGATTATAAATATAATAATTTATTTAGAATGTAAAATATGTGCTATAGAAGTAGAACTTGAGGACCTCTGGCGTGCGCTTCTCTGACTTATGGGCTTATGTCATATCAGTGCATATTAGCTTCAAGTTTCAATGGACAATGCACGATGTTGATGCCAGCACTACAGAGAAATCAAGAGAAACCGGTAACGGCTTACATTAAAATACTCGATCAATTTTTCGCGTAATATAAGTAATCGCATATTTTTCGATCGCATCATCGAAAAAAATGGCTTCCGGCAAAAGCACCAGAGAGGTTCTATTGTCTCTCATCGATGACATCGAACTCATAACAAAGTAAGGCATGAATGATCTACGAATATTCGAAATTATCGTACCAAACAATTTTATTTTATTTTTGTGGATTTTATATTGCTTTAGAGAAATGATAGAAAACACCATTGCTCAAAAACAGCTGAAACTGTCGAGCGAGGTACACGCTCAGCTGACTGATTTATTGATTGCTAAAGACGATGAATTAAAAATGACTTTGAAACGTGCGGCTGAACAAGCGAAAATTAATTTAAAAATGGAGGCATTAAAAGTTGAGGTAGAGAGACAGGATCAAGACATTCGGCAACTGCAGCGGCAACTGAAAGAAGCAGAACAAATTCTAGCCACTGCAATTTATCAAGCAAAACAGAAGTTGCAATCTATTGCTCGTGCCAATAAAAAGCCAGTTCCTTCAGAGGAACTTATTAAATATGCACATAGAATAAGTGCATCGAACGCTATTTGTGCACCACTTACATGGCAACAAGGAGATCCTAGGAGACCATATCCCACGGGTGAATTTCTACTACTTGTGTTTTTTGTCCATTTCTACCTAAGCATCGAATAAGTCTGAGCGTGCTTGTAGATATTGAAATGAGATTGGGATATCTTGGACGATTAAGCGATCTTCCTTTGAATGGACAGATGTTAGGTTCTCATCCTGGAATATCATCTGATTTGCATAGAGCTGGACATCCTGTGGGTGGTATGATAACAAAACAATTCTACTAGTAGTAGTATATCAAATTTTATTTCAATGGCATAAGTGTACATTGATATAATTTTTTCAGAACCACCAGTGTCACAGGCCAATCAATTTGCATGGCATCCCTCTGGTGAAATACATATGTCGGTGAGCGGCCAAGGGAGCGTCGCTATGAATACTCACAAACAGGAAACAGAGGATGTGGAAGTTATGTCCACAGATTCGTCGAGTAGTTCTTCCAGTGACTCTCAATGATTATCTGTTTGCAATGATAGATCATGGACTGAACTTTGTTTACTTATTATTAAATATTTATAAAAGACGTAACAGAAGAAATAAATTTTGTACAAACATCTAACAACTTCTAAGCGTTTAAGTTATCGCAATATATACATCATACTTTCCGTATTATTTTTTAATTTTTGTTGCAAGCATATTACATGGACATCAGAAGAATATCTGGTAGAAAATTATGCAGAGATTGATAAGTGTAGTAATACATTTCGGGATTCGACTAAAATGAAAAATAATGCGTTAGTATCGAACGTGAAATTTTAGATTAAAAAACATGCATCTTTTCTTACCAATTGCACTTCGTCTTTAAAATTTGCTTTTTGAAATAAAATATTTTGATCTGTGAACACGAGACCAAACAGTTCACAATCTGCTCGAATCTTTTCTATATCTTTATACAATAAAACTTTTTGTAATTTTAGTCCTGGGAATGTAAATACTTTACTATTATATCCTGAGCTCATGATTTTTAATGCTGTTCTGAAATATTTTATAATATATTTTAATTATTAGACAAATCAGATGTTTGTCGCGCTTAAAATACCTTCTTATAATTTGTATGTTAATCATAGCTGCAAAAATGAGTAAGGGAGAGAGTTGTTGAATCAATGAGCACACACGCACGTAATTTTTTAAATACCAGGCGAACGATATTTTCATTGAGAGTTGGATATTTGAGTTTCTTCTGTAAAAATTGTGAGAATTGTAAAGGTGAAAAAACATTGTATATTAATTACACCATTTTTATACCTTAAATCAGACGACAAGCTCAATGCTCTTTTTAAAGTTTCGGTATTACCCATATTTAAAAGAATGTACAATGCTTCCATTTCTTGACGATTATCATTCAAGCTTAGTTTTTGCATACACCTATCGAGATCCAGAGAATCTGGCTTGTCATTCTGTTCCTTTTTGTCGTATAAGACAAGCAGAGATGTTATGCATTCGGTTAGGTGTTGATTATTAATTTTTGGATTAAACTCAGAGATACTTCGATCACACAATCTGCAATTTTTCAATCTGTTCTGCTCTGTCGTATGATATATTCTCCAATTCTGCATAAAATATATGATCGTACCTTTGGGCAGAATAAACAAGAAATCGAACTATCGGTTCAAAAATTTGTATACTTGTAAGGACATCGATTCTCTGAATTCCAGCATCTTGCCTCACCGATCTCAGACGGTCAAAGATAAAATCGTACACTACTACCCAGTCAACATCTGTTCTTGTAGCTATTCTGAAATACGGTGCCGAGTTCTATCGAGAGTGATTTATTTAAATTCGCGTAGCAAAAGAAATCATGATTTAAAGCGCACTTAGTAAACAAATATCTAATCGTTGATAATAATACAGGTGCAGGACGTAGTTGATCCGGATCGGTCATATTTACTCCAGCTGCTGGACGACTGAAACATTTTACAACTTTCGTTGGATCGGCCTTCGGTCGTTTACTATTTGCCGTCTTTACACTCTCGTCAATTTCGAATATATGCAGTAAACCTTCTTTCTCTCTTCTAAGTTTCCAACACGATAGAGATTAAAATTATCTTATTATACCTCTACATATGTATTTCAGAACTAAACTATGATAAGTGTAAATTATAACCTACATCCAACATTCCTTCTCTGGACACATCGACAAACATGTTCCTTTTATGATATCTGTCATTTTGTAACATTCAATAAACCAATGTACCGTTAAAATATGTCAAACTTAATGTCCATATTACATTCTCTTTATAAACGATTACTGTTGCCAGGAGTCAACTAACTTCATGCATATGACTTCGCGTTACCAGTTACGTGCATGTATGTATTTACGTATGATACTAGCGTGATATTTCGATAAAGGATATTACCTACGTAGTCAATTTGTGTACGCATTTGTATACATATATACGTATACTTAAGGTTTTGGAAGAGTATATTTACACTTCATCCGAGAAGAAAAAATCTGTAAACATAACCACGTGGCTTGCATCAGAAATTTATTAGTTCGCTCTGTCTCCGTTCAGGAGTGTATCATAATCATAAATCGAAACACATCAACGGAAAGGAAATTGATTAGCTCTACGAAATAAAGGGTAGGAAAATTTGACGTGGCTTTTGATAAGCTGGTATACGATATTATTTTATTTAATTTCTTTGGATATTTTCTTTTATCGACTCTTTTGCCGTGGAACCGTAATTATTGCACACGAATAGTAACTTGCATAACTTTGATCGAATCAAAGCGCCTCTTCGTGTTGGTCTTGTCCCTGTTGTGTATACAGGGTGTCCCAAAAATGTTGTAACAGCTTGAAAGGGATGGTTCGGGAGGTGATTTGAAGCAACTTTTTCCTTACCAAAAATGTTGTCCGAGGCTTCGTTGAGAAGATATTAACGGAAAACACTGACCAATCAGAGCGCGAGTATACCGGTGGAGCGGCCGCGGTAGCGTATGAGCGAAGCCGGCTGAGCGCGTAGCCTACGCTCCAACGGTATCCGCGCGCTCTGATTGGTCACTGTTTTCCGTTAATATCTCCTCAACGAAGCCTCGGACAACATTTTCGCTAAGGAAAAAGTTGTTTCAAATCACCTCCCGAACCACTCCTTTCAAGATGTTACAACATTTTTGGGACACCCTGTAGACACGTGGTTTTATTTACATACCTTTCTTCGCGCTGAGCGAGGTGTAAGTAAGTACACACGTGTTCATTTATCTTGGAGATGTACACATGTACTATAGGTAATTTAGATATCACATAGACGCGAAATGCGAGATTTACCTTGCTAGTATAAATTCTTTCAAACGATGACCTTCATCGCGTTATTTCTGTTTGCTTTTTATAGTGAGAGCAGTTTCGTTCGTCGACGATATCTTAAATCAGAGGTAACTAAAACAACAACGATCTCCTCGCAACTGTGCGAAGAACATTTTTTTTATAACGTGCATACAGCGGCGGATTCGGTTATCAGAGCCTAGAGATAATACCGTGACAGTATTTTTATACGATCCAGAAAATTCGTGTATATTTTAATAAGGTGTCAGGAGTCACTGAAAGTGATCGAGGGGAACGTTCTTGCGCGTCCTTGTGGTTTGCACGATACCTGTTGCGTTGTCATCTTCGTCGACACCGTTATTGCGAGAAGGTTGTTGATCTTACGTAAACTATCGTCCGTCTTTTTCTATCTTCTTTTATCGCTTGCCCTATCTTCAAAGAATTACTTTTCTCCTCTCGCAGTTTCGAATCACGGTTCCCGTCTAGACGAAGTTTAACTATTTAAATCTGCAAGTACGTTTTCAACGTGTTACGACAGAAAAAGTTATTTCATTACTTTACAATTTTTCATCATTTTCTCCATGTTTATTGTTCCATCGACGTTGATTCTTTCTTGCCTAAACATCGTTTCGAATGACGTGCACAGGTGCGCGACACACGGCGATGTCAAAAATCGTTTTCGTAAACATTTGTCCAGTTTCCTAAGCGGCCTTGATCATTTATTCCGTTTCGAAAACCAGCGTCCGGTACTCGATTAAACGTTAGAAAATCTCTTCGCCCCGATCGAGGTAAGAGGATGCGCAATTATGCTGGATTGCGAGAGCTCTTTGATGCTATTTATAAAAAAAAAAAAAAAAAAAAAAAAAAAAAAAAAAAAAAAAAAAAA